TTTACCTAAGACCTTGTTTGGTTTCAGTAACTGTCTTGATTGTTTCTTATTCTATAAGTGGTTTCTGAGGTATGTAGAAACTCCTTATTTTACTTTATTAGTTTATGAGATGAATGATATATTTTTAAAGAAGACCCACTTAATCTATTTTTCTCTTGTTTGCAAGGCAGTACTACTAGCCCAGGAACCATTTCAGAAAACATACCAAATAAAACCTTGTTTATCACTGGTTATTCTTCTCTCTCTGTAGGAAGGCAAATTAAATAAATTTGTCTGTATTGTAAAATAAACTATTTCTTATCCACTCAAAAAATCTGAAATAATGAAATTAAGTTTCAAAGTTTGTTAAAATTGAATGCATGCAGATGATCTGTTAAACAGTTACAGGATTGCACTGAAATGTTATGTATGAGCTTTTAATGTTTATGCTTTAAAAATATTAAATAGGTATGCTGGAACAGGAAATAGCTATGCATTTCCTGTATTTTAGTTGTCGCTGTTGACTCACAATCTTAGTACAGACATGGGTGGTTATGCTAGACATTGCATATAAATGTAGTAAAAGGTAGTCCCTGCCCTGAAAATTTTTTAATGGAAATAAGTAAAGTAAGCAGTAGGAGAAAGGAAGACTCACATTTCTGACTTTAAAGGCAATTGAATGAGATATGGAGAATGAGGGAGAAAACGGGTTTCAGTTAAGGGACTTCTAGCAAACTTTTTTTTTTTTTTGTCAGATATCATCCTTATTTTAAAGGCAGTGCCCTCCAGCTTTTATTTTGTCAGCACAGATCTGTCTGTATTGATGCTAAAGTTAACATGAGCACCGATAGCTTAAAATTGCAAGACCAGAAAGATTAGACATTGCCTTTTTGGTCAGGATGTTTCCAGACTTCAGGAACCATCCTGATCTTATAATGAAGATCTTAATGATGCTATTTTGTCCCAGCATTTTATCCAGGACAGGAGATTTTACCTGTCCCCTCTGTCAAATTGGGAAGGTAAAAGGCAGGAGCAGGAGACAAGGTTCTTACCCGACTCTCAGGTTGAATGACATGAATCAGTGAACAACTCAGGATATATGACCTGACAGAGGGCCATGCCTTTCTGCTTTTCTCCACTCTCACCTCATGACAGAATGGATGTGCCCCTCCTATTAGGATTCAATGCAGAATTCTCCTTTTTCCTGTTATTCTCAGTTTTCTCCCCCTTGATTAGTTTTATGAGTAGGATTGCAGAGTTGTACAATAACTGTTGTCAGAGTTTTCTTTCTATTAAAAAAAAAAATTATCATTTGTCAATTCATTTGCAACATGTAAAAATTTTGTTTGTTATTGTTTCAGGACACAGCAGGGCAGGAGAGATACAGAACAATTACCACGGCTTACTACCGCGGTGCAATGGGCTTCATTTTAATGTATGACATCACAAATGAAGAATCTTTCAATGCTGTGCAGGATTGGTAAGTAAGACTTGGAATCCATATTAAACAGCACAGAGAATATTTTATATCACTCACCTGCTGTGACGGTGTAAATTATTTTGGAAAACTTATTTGCAAGTACAGTCCCCAAGCATTCCTATACCCAAATATATGGTGGGGTTTTTTTTCTGAAAAGACAATGAATACTTTGAAATGAGTTGCATATAATTCATTGTAACTATTGTGTTTTCTGTGATTTTGGTTAATGTGCATTATTCATACTACTAAAACCAGCAACATGCTAGTGTGAAGAGTAACTGCTAAGATACCAGAAAGTGTTTCCATATTTCATGGAAAAAAATGAGATACCATCTGCAGAGGTTGTCTTTTATTTTAATTTTTCGTCATGTTGCTTTTAACCATAGGTGGTTATACATTATGCTGTCAGTCTTGTACTCAAGTGTAAAAATGATGAGCAAACTTCGTCAGAATAGCAGAACCTAAAATGGCTGGTACTTACATTGCCTTGTATTATGTGAATGTCAAGATGTCTCCATAAAAGTGTGTCATTTTAATCAGATATGGGTCAGTCAGGATCCAAACAATCTAAGGCTTTTTTAAGTAAAGCTGACCCAAAAGGAAAGCTAGAGTTAATCTCAGTGATCTCTTCCTTTACAAGTTATTTTGATATCTGAGGGCCTCCTATCAGTGCTCTGAGTGATATGAATAGCATTTGTCATGTGTGTTCCACGTGCTCTCTTGCATGCTGTTCCCATAGGAGAACAGTATTTGAGAGAGGATTTTGTTCAGAGCTTGTGTGGTTTGTTCAGTATGTTTCTCTGACTTTTTTAAAATTTATTTTATATGCACTGTGTACTTCTTTCAGGACAGGCAAGGTCAGAAACATGTTTCACACTTAAAGTAAAAGGCAGTGATGCTGTGATGCCTGTTTCTAACAGGAGTTGTTGCCCAGCCTCAGACTCTCCCAGAAAAAAACTTCCTCTCTTTCAGACTCTTCTGCTTACTTTTGTGGTAGTAAGTGCCACTTTCTACTGGAGCACCTTCCCTCTCTACACCTGGAGTCTTTCCTGGTTGGTATATGCTCAGCCTGGCCATTCACCGCTCTGAAAATAAGAACTGAGAACCTTAGCTTGATTCTGCTCTACAAGAAATGGGATCTTGGGTTGCCTAACGTTTCCTGTGTAAACACTAGTGATGTAGTTTTTCACAGTCCTCCAGGCGAAAGGGGCAATTCCAGAGTATGTTCCACCTTCTCCTCTCCATCTGTTATCAGTACGACCCTACACCAAATTGCTCTTACGAGCATCTCTTTCCATTTACTAGAGAATCGATAAGCTTATATGACTCGTATAGACCAGACAACTAGCTTTTGGACAATTGAATGTATTTGGGAGGAGTCTCTGCTTGATACTCAAAGACACGTTTGCTCACTGTGACTCATTACACCAAAGGGATGTTCTGCCCATTTTGTACAAGCTGGAGACATCATGCTGAGTGCTTGCTGTTACACATGATTCTATGATTTGTGAGTACTGCTCTGTTCAACAGAATGAGACAGAATCTGCTACCTAACAGGAGGTAGCTGAAAGTGTTATTCATAGACGCTGCTGTGAAAGTTTAGCAAAAACAGGGAATTAAGGAGTACACCCAGCCTCCCAGCTGAACGGGCAGTTGTGGCTGCCAGCACCACTGCTTACTGGGCCTGCCAGCTGAAGCACTTTCTTGCTTTGCCTCTGCTGTTCTTTGTCTGTGGGCTGATTCTCTTCAAGCACTGTTTTAACTTGGTGATAATGGCTGCCTAGGACCAGCTGTAATCTGCAAATCTCATTGCCCCATCTCTGGGCAAACCAGATGGCATGCCATGTATTATCTAGCTTCCTCCAACACAAAGGTTTCTTTATAGCAAGTGTAAATATGAGTACTTATTATTAATTTTCCTACCTGTTTGTTTTCCAGCCTCCTAGATCTGGTATGGTTGCCACCCTTTGTCTCCTGGTGAAAAGTAACTAGGCTTCATACTAATTAAAAAAAAAAAAACCTCCCTGCAAGATAAAACAAGAAAATATTTAAAAGCTATGGAGTTCTTAAGTAGGCTTGTGAAATATGATTTTTCCGTCATTTTATCTAGAAGCTGTACAAAGAGTTGGCAGCTACTATAGAAATTTGGTGGACAGGAGGGATTGCATTATTATGTGCTGAGAGCTACTGAGCAGTCATCTGCATGATGAAAGGGATGACAGAGAGGCAGAATGCCTCACTTGTCAGGATGAGACATAGATTTGCTTGTTATTTTTATTTTTAATTTCATGAGCCCAGTTGCTGCCCTGCTATTCTTCCTCTGTTTTATTCTTCCCATCTCACAGCTGATAATTGATTTTGATTAGCCTATGGACCAATTTTGATAGTAATCACAAAACTACAGCTTGCTTCTGAGTGTGAGAGAAGTTAAAGAAAACTCGCAATTACCAATGCTGCAGAAAAGCAAGCATGGCTACATGCATGTGTCTGTGCGTTTGTGAAAGATATGGGGGAAAAGAGTGGGAGCTTTTAAGCCTCTCTGGGGCTTAAAAAGCTTTTCTCTGTGATAAACGTGCCTCTGAAGTCAGTGGTGCCATTTCATATACATGCACAATGAGCCAAATCCAAGCTCAAATCATATCGGCTTCAAGGCTTGATCTTGGAACTGCACTGCAGTCAGGACAATGAATCTACAGGTGCCTTTTAGATTTGGATAAAAGAGTTTGGTTTAAAATATTGTTGGGATGATTCTTTAAAAGCAATTAGTTCTAAGAGGTTGCACTCATATTGAAAGGCATTTTATTCAGTCTGAAGTCTGGCTGACATTTCTCCTTTATAACAACAGATGGATAGTTGTATTTCTAGATGCCGTGCCTAGGTCAGCATGAACATATTCAGCTGTGAGAAATTCTATATCTAATTTGACTATTAACATTTTACATTAAAAAAAAATCAGTACCTGTAATTTTATCTAAACCTATTAGCACCAATATATACCACAATATAGTAGCCAAGCATTTGTCCACCACTCTGTGAGACTGAGAAAGGGTTTTGTCTAAAAGCTTAGCTAAATGACTTGAAGGTCCAGTAAATTTCAACCATACTGCAGACTCTTCAGGAAACATTAATATAGAATCATAGAATCATTAAAGTTGGAAAAGACCTCTGAGATCATTGAGTCCAACCGTTAACCTAACTGCCTTCTCCACCTCTAAACCATGTCCCTAAGCACCACATCCACACATTTTTTGAACACTTCCAGGGACTGTGATTGCACCGCTTCCCTGGGCAGTCTGTTCCAATGCCTAACCACTCTCTCCATGAAGAAATTTTTCCTAATATCTAACCTAAATCTTCCCTGGCACAACCTGAGGCCATTTTCTCTCATCCTGTTGCTTGCTACCTGGGAGAAGACACTGACCCCCACCTCGCTACAACCTCCTTTCAGGTAGTTGTAGAGAACAATAAGGTCTCCCTTCAGCTTCCTCTTCTCCATATCTTACCTTCCCTAATTAAAATTAAAAAAACCTTAAAGATTGCAAATGAAAGTAACAACAAAAGTTGTAACCTCAGTAGAGATGTTTTTTGAGATTCAAAAACTTTTGGCACGAGAAATCTTGAGTTGGTACTTCTGATAGTTCTGCTGTATGTATACCCAGTGATTTATTGCCTTCAGTCTCATCCAGAGGATAATGCTAGGAATACACTGCCAGTGCTTATGTTCTAAAATTGTTTAGTCACTTCAGAATTGCTGCCTTCTAGGGTATGTTCAACTAACCTGTGCTCTCTGAGTAGCTATGTTCCCTGTATGGTTTCACACGTACTACAACAGATGCTGTTTAAATGAGCCTAGCTTGGCAGATGGTTCAGACTGACCTACAAAATTGACAGGTCCTTAATAATTTTTTTAGGAGACACCCTTCTGAAGGGAACAGAAGGCCTAATATGCAGACTGGACCCACTTCTTAGGGAAGTCTGCTGCCTCCCTGGGGCCCAGGTTAAAGATATGAAGAGAAAACTTCCTAGCCTAGTACAGCCCTCAGATTATTATCCGTTATTGATTTTTCAGGTAGGCAGTGGTGAAGTTGCAACTAGAAGTCCAAGGGCAATCAAGAGAGACTTGAGGGCCTTGGGATGACTGGTTAAGGGATCAGGAGCCCAAGCAGTGTTCTCCTCTATCCTTCCAGTTGCAGGGAATGATGAGGGAAGAACCAGGATATAAACAGCCAATACCTGGCTCCGAGCCTGGTGTCACCAGCAGAATTTTGGGTTTTTTGATCATGGGTTGGTCCACACGACACCAGGCCTGCTGGCAACAAACTGGGTACACCTGCCTCAAAGGGGAAAAAAGGATCTTTGCACAGGAGTTAGCAGGGCTCATTGAAAGAGCTTTAAACGATATTTGAAGAGGGAAGGGATAAAACCAGGCTCGCTAGAGATAAGCCTGAGGGCGGCACAACAATGTTTGAGGGATGGTGTGCTAGCCAGGTCCTTCAGTCTGCCATCTCAGAGGACGTAGGGCATGGAGATCTATGCAGCAGCAGACGCAAGGGTTATGGATATGTTAGAAACCATGGAAGCACCTGAGAATTATCATGTAGGAATTAGGGCTTCTTCCTCCAAAAAGGTGGTGGGATCAATAGTCCAACTGAAGTGCATCTACACTAATGCATGCAGCATGGGCAACAAACAGGAGGAGCTGGAATCCATTGTATGGTAGGAAAACTATGATATTATGGTGGGATGACTCACACAACTGGAGTGCTGCAATAGATGACTCTTCAGAAGGGATAGGCAAGGAAGGAGAGGTGGCAGCATAGTCCTGTATGTTAGGGAGTGTTTTGACTGTCTAGAGCTTAATGATGGTGATGACATGATTGAGTGTTTATGGGTAAGAATCAGTGGGAAGGCCAACAAGGCAGATATCGTGGTGGGAGCCTGTTATAGACCACTCAACCAGGATGAAGAGGCAGACCAAATATTCTATAAGCAGCTGGGAG